GGCCATAGGAAAGCAGGAGACTGTTGTGACTTATGTCTGCCCAGCCATGCTGCCCTCAATCCCCCAGGTATTGATCTGAGCATGCACCTTGGTAAAAACCCCATAGACAAACCCCATCCCCAGAGTCAGCTTGCTCAAGTATCAGCCAGTCTGCTGGAGTTCTTTGCCTCTGAATCTCACAGATAACCAAGGGTCTACTCCTGTGTCCATCTTATGACATCAGATTACCAAGTCCTGCTCAGAGTGCTGGGAACATTGCTCAGAATCTCAAGTTCAGCTTAATCACGGAACAGTAAGGATTGAACTGAGTGTGGAAAGTAGAGTAACCTACACCCACACACAAAATGTCCACATCCTAATCCCTGAAACCTGTACATAGGTTACCTTATATTGCCAAAGAGATTTCACAGGGGTAGTGACATTAAGGGCTTTGAGATGAGCATCCCAGACTATCGGAGGACCAAGGGTAACCTCACCTGTCCTTAAAAGTGGATGGGCTCTCCTGATAGCAGGCAGAAAGATGTGCTTACAGAAGACATGGCTGGCTTTGAAGGTGGAGGGGGGCAGTCACAAGATAGCTGTAAAAGCTGAAAAGGTTTTACAAGGGAACAGATTCCTCTATAGCTGCTAGACCAGAAGGTAGCCCTGTGAACACCTTAATGTCAGCCCAGGAGATCAGTATCACACTCTGACCTACAGACTGTAAAACAATAAATGTGTGTTACTTCAAGCTATTACATGTGCCGTCATTTATATGGCAGCAAAGAAAACTAATGCTGAAGAAAACCTGGATGATAGTTCTTCTTTCATCTCCCCATTTTATGCTTGCCTGGGGTTCCATTCAGGAAAGCCAAAAATCTTTCTTCTTTTTTTTTTTTTTGACAATACTGGGGATTGAACTCAGGGCCTCAGGTACGCTAGGCAAGTGCTCTACCACTGTGCTCTTGAGCACAGCCCCAGAGACCTTTCTTGGCAATGCCAGCCAGGGTCAGCCCTAGGTGACTGGAACCAATCTATACAACTTCCCAAAATCAACAATTCACATAATGATAAAGAGGAATCTTAATCTCATATTCAAGGAGATGACAGTTTCCTGCTAGATCATTCCTTGTCTTGTTATAGCCAACCATAACCAAGAGGCAGGAGGGCCTCAGTATGAGAGGGCCCTCTACTTGGTTGCCACTTCAGCTTTTAAACAACAAAACAGAATATTAATAATTGTTTCCTAGCTCAATGTAGGCCAATACCTTAAAAATAATATTTCCTATTAGTTTAAATCTTCATTTTAAATGTTTTTTTAACTTTTTCGCAATGCTGGAGATGGAACCCAGGGCCTCCAACATACTAGGCAAGGCTGTACCACTGAGTTACCCCCAACCCTATTTTTTTTTCTCATTTTAAACCTAAAAAGAAATATACTATAAAAAATGATAATCTGACTATAATAATTTTTCAGATAGGAGAGTAGGCTTCTCAAACATTCAGGAGGTATTTACCTTTTAAAAAATGAAAGAATATCTTTTGAAATATCCACAAAACATGCTTACAGCTAATAGAGTAAGAACACAAACACAAACTCAGTACAACTCCCAAGCAGAGTAGTAATCACCATTTGAATGTGTGTGCTGGGACCATTCTGAAGTTTAATTTGCACGGGCTGCAATCTTACAGAGAAGCAGGGAGATTTAAATCGAGTTAGTAAATGTGGGGCAATCTGAGTAAAGAATTCTCCTCCCTGCTTAGTAAGATAAATAGACCATATATAGCTGCAGAATTTAACTTGACTTTGGCTTACATGTTCAAAAAATGTTCTTATCTGACATCAAGCATGTGTGTATTAGAAACTCATGGCATTAAAAGACTTCAAAATAGGACCATTCAAGATGATAAACTGCTTTGATTATATGTCTCAGGCCCATTTGAAAGATCAAGTAGCTGGAGATCTTCAGTTGTCAAGTCGCCCACTTGCAGGGGCAGCATGGCTCTGCAGACCACGAGGCCCCCCCAGGCCAATACTGGAAAGGCGTCAGTATGTCACAAGAACACCAAGGCAGGGAACCAGGTTTCTGGTCTCCTCAGTACACCCTGTCCACTACATTCAACCCTCTACCCAAACACTAACAGCTGGGACTGCTATTCTCAGAAACCCTAGGGAACAGAGACTCTCATCTACCATGCTTAATAAATTTGGAGAAAAAATAGAAAGGTCTTGAATTTTCTATTTAATGAGCTTGCCTGGATTTAATTTCCCACACAATAGGTGTCTGCCTGAGCTCCTCTGTGGAAGGGAACTTAGAGATTTCGAGGATTGAGCAGGGAAGAGCAGAGCTAGAGCACAGCAAAGGAGCCAGAATGGCTGACCAGGTGCTGGATGCTGTGGACCAGGTTCACTGGTACTCAAAAGACTCCCACTAGGACATAGGAGGTGAAAGACTGCCTCCCCAAAGGAGAGCCAGGACTAGGTAGAAATGTAGGCTCATGAACTAGCTACAACTCCTTTCCTCCTACCTATGAAGCTCCCTAGAGCAGAAGTAAACAAGAACAGTCGATCCTGAATCTACCATAGTCTAAAAAAAAACCCTCAAACTTCAGCACTGAAACTTGACCATTGTTAGTCACACATAATCATTCATCCCCCAAACCAGTCTCAACACTTCATTAGAGAATTTCTGGTAGTTGTTTTCCAGTTACTATGGCTGTTTGATAAACCTCCCCAAAATATAGAGGCTTAAAATGATAACAACCTTATTTTGTTCACAAATCTGCAATTTGGTGTGCTATTTATATACAATGGAATTTTATTCAGCCATACAGAAGAATGAAATTTTGTCCTTTGCAGGTAAATGGATGGAACTGGAGAATACCATCTTAAGTGAAGTTAGCCAGATTCAGAAAGCCAAAGGCTGCATGTTTTCTCTCATATGTGGAATATAGACCTAACACAAATACAAGCAATATTATGAAAAACAGGTCAAGCTAAGGGGAGGTCACAAAAGAGAGAGAAAGGGTTAAAAAAAGAAGAAGGTGAATATGGCTGATATACTTCCTATGCAAGAATGAATATAGAATTTTCAAGCCTGTTGAAATCACCCTAAGAAGGGGGACTGAGGCAAAAAGGAGAAAGGGTGTAGGACGGTGAATAAGGTGGAAACAGTCTGTACACATGTATGGAAATGGAAAAATGAGATCTGTTGAAACTATTCCAGGAATTGGGGAAGGGGGGATAAAGGAGAATGATGGATAGAGGGAATTCAATTATGATACATTGTAAGGACTTTTGCAAATGTCACAATGTACCCCCAGTATGACAATAATAAAAATAATCTGCAAGTTGGGCAGAGCTGGGCAGGAATCATTCATATCTGCTCCATTTGGTTTTCACAGGGCAAAAGATGGGGTGGGAAGAAGAGAGGTACGGAGGAAGAAAACCAGGGAGAGGGTGAGGAGGGGCAGAACTGGACCTGCATCTGAAGTCTCTTTCACTCAGCTGGGGGCTCCACAACCACCTCTACTTCTGTGTGATCTATACTCTTTATGTGCTCTCTAGACTATGGAGGCTTCTGGATAGCCAGACTTCTTACATGGCAGCTCAGAGCTCCAAAGGTACATGTCTCTAGAGAGAGAAGTAGAGAGAGCAAAAGAACCAGATAGAAACTTCATCCTGCATCCTAACCTAGCCGCAGATATGACACAGCGTCATTTCTGCCATGTGCTATACTTCACACCTTCACTGCCCCAATTTCAAGAGGAGGAGAACTCAGCTCCTCCTGTGTATGGGAAGAGTGTCAAAGAAACTGTGAAAATGTCTCAGAACCAGGATTAAGTATGGGGACAGAAAGAACGCAGTCCAGAGGCCTCCACATGTGGTGGGGATGACAGTAGGTGGTATGAGAGAAGGGTGACTGGGAGAATAGGTCTGGGGCATAGGTTCTGAGGATCAGGCACATTCTCACTAAGAGGAGTGGAGCCTAGGAGTGAGGATTTCAAAACAACCAGGCCTTTATGTTTCAATGGTTTCAACAGCATGCCTCTGGGAGTCAGAGGAGATACAAGACCACCCCCTGCCAGGCTCTGAGAAATGGGGCTAGAAAGAGTAATGAAAGCCACATTTGAAAGGGCCAGAGTGACCATCATGACACTGCAAAGTTGCTTGAGAAAGTGAGAAAACCAATTTGAGGAAAGAAGAGGACAGATGTTACACAGGAGGAAAAGAAGTGACTAAAGGTAAACAGAAGAGGGCATTTTAGAAGCTAAAGGAAGAAACTGTTCCAAAGAGAAAGTAGTCACAGTGTCTCTCTCTAAGAGAAAGAGAAAAATGAAAACTGAGAAAAAGGACATTGGATTTTGACAAGAAGTAGCCAAGAATTACAACTTTTGGGGACCTGTTTTATTTCTACAATATGCACAAGGAGAGGCAGTCATTTCTCAGCAAGTAGAACATGCTTCAAATAGACTCTGGTGTTTTGTGTTAAAACTGAACTCAATGAGAGGCATATGAACACCATCATAAGATAGCAGACTTATACAGCTAACCTTCTTTCCAAGGAGTGAGGCCACCATCCCTGGGCCAGCTGATAAGGTTATCTCAGGGCAAAGCATGCCAGCCCCAGAGGGCCACTGGCTATATCTTCCTCTATCAGACTCCCTGCCAAGTCCTGTCACATACTGATGGTGCTCAGCAGCAACTTCAGTTCCCACAGCCTCAGAAGTCAGCAGCTATTAAAAATCCAGTTTGAAGATATATGGAAATGATTATATAAATTCCTGTTATTAATTGGAATATTAAGATGCATTTAAGTTTTCTAAAATAAAAAGGGCTCCTTATAGTTGAAAGCAAGTCTACCTGAAAAATTTCTAGAGGGGAACAGGAGAGCCTATGTGAAAAGCCAAGGAGGTAGGGGCAAAAAATAGGTCTAAAATTTAGGATAATACAGCTTATCCAGACTGTCAGGAGAGGAGTCAGGGAAAAGGGGAAAAAAGCACATTGGCAGAGGTGTCACCTTGCTCTCCACTCTGGGTCCCAGCATGATAGAGGAAGTGATTCTTCTCTCTGGTGTAGAGGAATAGAACTGAGAATCCACAGGAGCTCAGGGCAGCTGGTCAATCAGCCTTCTCTCAGGCTTCAGAATAAAGTCAGACACATGAGAAGTCCTGCCTCATCAGGAGCTGCATGTAAGTGAGGCATGAGATCAGAGAAGGCCTTAAAAACCCCAAAGTATCACAAGTGAGAGGGGAAAATTAACAGCTTTTTTTAAGTCAGAGAAAAATTAGCATTCAAGTAGAAGATCTGTGATAAAGTAGCTTGCTCATTATAAGGATGTGTATTTATGTAAACCTTGCTCTCAGTTATCTATAACTTCAATCAATGATCATTTGATAGTTAGGATTTAGCATTTGGATAATTATTTCATCATCACATAAAAACCATTGAAGGTCAGGCACAGTGGATGACACTTGAAATCCCAGCTATTCAGGAGGCAGAGATCAGGAGGATCGTGGTTCAAGGCCAGCCCACACAAAAAGTTAGCAAGACACCATCTCAACTAATAAGCCAGGTGTCAGTGATGGGGCTTGCCTGTAATCCCACTATGCAGGAGGCTGTAGGTAGAAGGATCTTGGTCCAAGGCTGACCCAGGCAAAAACATAAGACCCTATGTAAAAAAATAACTAAAACATAAAGGGCTAGGGGATGTGGCTCGAATGATGGGGTGCCTGCCTGAGTACAAGGCCCTGAGTTCAAATCTCAGTATTACCAAAAAACCAACCAACCAAACTCTGAATCCCATTGATGTAGGCCTAAGCATTTGAATCTGGATATCAGAGTCATGGGAAGGACACATTTTAAAATCAAAACCTATGAAGTGGCAATCTTGCATACTCTACCCTATAAAAGTCAGCAAATGCCAAGAATCAGTGAGAGGACAAAGAGAAAAGTTTAAAAGAATATGAAGAATAAGCAGAGCATATTTGCATAAATTAAATATTACTTCAGCAAAATGAGTTACACATATACACAATATATAAAAGAAGTTGAGAAAAGCAATATTAAGTCTTTAAAAACTCACAAGATGAAAAGTTTTCAGAGCAGCATTCCCACGCTAACAATGAGACCGAATTGGCTACAAAAGCCTAGTTTTAACAATCTGTCAGGAAGCTGAGAAGGCAAAGAAGCCTAAATGTGACAAGCCCTTCCCAAGAAAAAAAAAAACCCAACAGCTGCTTCCGTCTTAGCAAAGCAGTGGGAAGGACAGATCCTTCCTATTGATCTTCACCAAACACACAACAGGAGGGAAAGGCAGGGAGAGAACAGGAGAAGTGAGAGACATCTGCCCAGGCCTATGGGACCCACCTCAATGCAAAGGCATAAAAGGATCAGAGCATAAAAATGGAGAATGCCACTCTGAAGCACCCAAGCCACTGCCATAGACCTCCAAAAGCTGGGGCAGAAAAGTGAGTAGAGATGTCCTTATACAGGACTGAAAGCAAAGTAACTCCCTGGTGACCCAAAAAGGCAAGTTGACAAGCAGAAAGAAACCACCCATAGTTCAGAAAACTGGCTCTGGGCTAGAAAGAAATCTTTTTTTTCTTTTTGTTGGGACTGGGGTTTGAATTCAAGGATTTATGCTTACAAAGCAGGCACTCTACTGCTTAAGCCATATCTGCAGTCCACTTTTTTGCTATGGTTATTTTGGACATAGATTTTCACAAACTAGTTATCCTGACTGGCCTTGAACTGTGATCCTTCTGATATCAGCTCCCAAGGAGCTAGGATTATAGGTGTGAATCACCTGTACCCAGGTTTAGCTAGGGCTCAAATCCTAAAGAAAAAGTTCTGATTCTGCCCTCAAAACATTTAAAGCCAGTGATAAAAAAAAAAAAAAAATGAGCCTAACTGTAGCTTCCACAAACCCACACACATTTCAATTACAGGTTGAACATATCCCTAATTTAAAAATCCAAAATTAGAAAAACTCCAAAACCCAAAACTTTTTGAGCTAACATGGTGCCAGAATGACCAATTCCACATCAGAGCTCAGGAGATGGATAATAATCAAAACACAAGTGCTCTAAACTATGTTAAAAATCACCTTTGGGCTATGTATATAAAGTTCTTATGAAACAAATCAATTTTGTATTTATTTTTGGGTCCCATCCCCAAGATATCTCATTATACACATGCAAAAACTTCAACAATTGGGAAAAGAAAAAGAAATGCAAACATTTCTGGTCCCAAGCATTTTAGATAAAAAATAGTTAGCTTGTAAAAATTAGATTGATTTAGCCTCCACATTAGTGACCTGAAAAAAATTTAAGAATATGAAGTTTCTTTTACATACACTGTCTGGCATGCAACTGAAAATCATGAAGCATGCAAAAAAGAAAAAAAGAAAAAAAAATATATATATATATATAAAAAAACCCACAATCAAGAGAAGAAATAGTTGAAAGAAGCAGACCCAAGATGATATAAATAATACAATTAGACAAGGACTTTAAAGTAACCATAAAAATGATTTTTAAAAGTCTAGGGAAAATATGGACATGAACACATGAAGAATTTCAGCAGAACACTGGAAAATACAAAAAATTATTTTAAAGACAAACCAGCTGGAATTATCCAAACCGAAACACAAAGCTTTTTAAAAAGTAGAAGAAAAGTAAACAAAGTATCTAAGATATGTGGGATAATAATATCATACATAAATAATTTGAGCTCCAGAAAAGGAAAGAGAAGGGGATAAAAAAATTGAAGAAATAATAGATGAAAAGTTTCCAAAACTCATTAATGAAAGATATCAACCTATAAATCCAAGAATCTGAGGTAGGGTAAATTTAGAGAAAGCCACATATAGGTGTGTCATACTTCAACTGCCAAAAACAAAAGAGAACAAGGAAATCAGTGGGAGAAATATCACACATTATAGATAGGGAGAAATGCTAAAAGAGTAACAGGTAACTTCTCATCCTGAAGGGGGGGCAGAAGATCTTGGGCCAACATCATCAAAGATCTGATTTAAAAAAAAAACTATCAACATTGAAGTCTGTATCTAGTAAAAATAACTTTTTTTTCCTGTGTTTGTTGAGACAGAGTCTCACATGCAGTCCAGACTGGCCTCAAAGTCTTGATCCTGCTTCCATTTCCAGAGTGCTGAAATTACAAGCATATACATCACTATGCCTGGCTGAAAACACCCTGAAGATGAAGGCAAAATAAATATTTTCAGAAAAAGCAAAGCCTAAGGGTTTTGTCACCAACAGACATGCATACAAGAAGTATGGAGAAAAAGAAGTACTTTAAGCCAAAGGAAAAGAATACAGATGAAAGAGATAAAGAGTACCCAACACTGTAACACATGAAGATAAATATAACAGTCATTTTTAAATTGTATACATTTTACAAATGAGCTCTTAGTTTATTAATAACTTAGTTCCTGTTGTGCACAGATTGAATCAAATCTTTTAGTAACAAAGTACAAGAAAAGCTAATGATTTTTTAATAGGTGAATTTCACACAGACATTGCCTCCTTGTTTTGAAGAGGGTCTTTCCAATTTGCCCCCTTTCAGTATTTTGATATTATTTGTTTGGATGAGTAGCCAAAAAAGAGGGGTGTTTCTCCAGACTCTTGGCCGTGGTCTGTTGCTACATGGTCATTCCCTGAATGGAAAGGGAGCAGGTTCACTTGTCACTGAATGGACTGTGTGAAATTTGTTCACCTGGTTCCTTTCACCATGTCTGCTCCAGGATTGCCTTGCAGAGGTCGCCTTGGCTCTAAGTAAATGCTGTTACCAGGGCCTTTGTTTAGGCTGACGCAAAATTAATATATTTTATATGTATACACATGTATATGTTTTATGCTACTTTATATATGTGTGTTTGGTTTGAAAGTATGCCTTGCATGTTTTTAAATATACTTATTTATGTTTCTTTTAAAAAAGCATTATTTTATAGCATACATAGATGTAAAATATAGGATAGCAAGTACAATGGATGGAAAGAATAAAGAAATTATAATGCAGAAAGTTCTTTTATTATTTTTTAAGTACTATACTATTATCTGGAGGTAGACTACAGTAGGTTAAAGTTGCATGTTATGATCTCTTAAGTAGCTATTGAAAAGAGCACAAAGAAACAAAGCCTAAAAACAAAGCATTGTCTTTAGTTACTTGAAGAGTTTCTAGTTGTTTTTTTTTAAATACAGTTTATGTTAAATAATTTGTATTAATTTAGAGAAGACAATCAATGTCTGTGAGAAAACGGACTTTCTTCTGGATTTTCTTTTTGTGGTCGTTGTGAGTGATTGCTTTTTCCTTTACTTAGTTTCACATTCTTCCTTTGTTCGAAAACTTAGACTGACAACTAGCTTTGACAATCAGTCTGTTTTATTTTCCTGAGGGGAATAACTTATAATGCTGTTTAGTTTTGTACTATTGGTGTGTTGGTGAATTTTTAAACTGTGTGCTAACTGCAATAAATTATATGAACTGAGAAAAAAAAAAGAAACAAAAATTTAAAGAAGAGAACACAGAATACTAAAAATATTCAACTCATCTAAAAGAAGGCAGAAATGGAAAAGAAAAACAAAACATATTAGATAAATAGAAAACAAATACCAAGGGCTGGGAGTATGACTCAAGTGGTAGAGTGTCCTTGAATTCAATACCTAATCCAAAAGGAATGGACAAGGCATGATGGTGCAGGTCTGTAATCCCAGATACTCAGGAGGCAGAGATTGCGAGGATCAAAATTTGAGGCCGGTCCACACAGAAAGTTAGTGAGACCCCATCTCAAAAAACAAGCTAGGTGTTCCAACTACAGAGGAGACAGAGGTAGAAGAATTATAGTCTGAGACCAGTCCAGGTAAAAGCAAAACCCTATCTGAAAAATAACTAAAAGCAAAAAGGGCTGGGGGTGTGGCTCAAGTGGTAGAGTGAGGCCCTGAGTTCAAACCCCAATACCACAAAAAAAAAAAAAGGAAAGTAAAGAAATGCCAAGGTGAGTAACTTAAACCCAACTACATTGAGACAAGCAACAAGTTGTAAACATGGATTATTGTATGCATGTTGCTTCCTAAAATGATACTGTGAGTGTACTTACATAAGAGAGCATCCTTTCTGTAAAGAATGGCATACTGAAGTCTTTGGATGTGAACAAACATAACATCTACATCTTGCCACTCCTCAGTGATTTGTGGGAATATTACAAGACTGAGGGAAGGATACAGCAGTGATCAGTGAAATGTGGCAGGAAGTCATCAACCTATCTGAAGAATCTTAAACCTTCTCTGAATTATTCTTGCAACTCTTCTGAAAGTTTGAAAAGGTTGTGCCATCTGCAGAATTAAATGTATTCCATGTGATGCTATTTTATATTAAATATACATACAAAATCAATGTTATCATTTAAGAAGAAAGACTACACATGGGCTGATACTGCATTTATTTTAAAAAATAACCCAAATTAAACAACTTATTGTTGGGAATGTGTACATGCAAAACACCTATGGAAAAAAGGGAACAAAGAAAGGAAAGGAAGGTGCTGATGATAAGGAAGCC